AGGATCGTTCGGTTTGTGGCCGAATGGTTAGGCATGTCAAGCTAAATGACGGTTCCGTATAGGATGCAGGTTCGAATCCTATGAAAATTTCTCGGACATTCAGGTCGGTAAATGTTATTTAATACTGTTTATTATAAACAGAGCATTTACTTAAATACTTGTATCTATAAAAAGAATGTTAAACATAAAAATGTCTTTAATAAATTGTCGGACTTTGTCCATTTCTTAATGTATATATATATATATAGTGTATCAAAAATACTTCTACAAACTTTGCGGGCAGGTTCTTCACACCAAAGCAAGTACAAAAGTCATAGAAACGCATGTCCGCAAAGCATTCGTTTTTTAATTATTATGTTTAAAGTTTATGGAAGACGCTTTTAAATGTACAATCCAAGACCCAATCCAAAAATGATTTCTACAAACTTTGGTGACGGGTTCCTGACACTAAAACAAGGTAAAATGTCCATGTAATCATATGTCCAAAAGGCCATCGTTGTACCTCAACACAACAACTCATATCAAATGTTCAAAATGTCCTCCGTTTGCTTCTATACGTGCATGGAGCCATCGGATCATTGACTGGGGGGGCTCTTTCCACTACTCCCATACGGTGTAGAATGGTTTCGCAGGCCGCTATGATACGTTGATGAAGCGTCGTTGCGATATTAATGTCTGCTGCCTAAACCAATTATTTTAGGTGCCCCCCCCCCGCCCCCAGGTAAAAATCCAAGGGATTGAGAACATGCAGGCCATGGAACCGGTCCTCTCCTCCATTTTTTATGGTAGATGTCAGCTAGTGACTAAAATGTGCTGCTCACAATATGAATATCCTACCACTGTTAAATGGAACACTTCTCATTTAACTCACTACTACACATGTTAAACGTTGAAGACAGACTAGCCACAAATGTACACGAATGACAAATGTAACCTAGTCTAAAGTAACACAGCGGCATCTACCGTAAACTTACTTTAAACTTAATAATACAAAAACGAAGGATTTGCGGACATACGTTTATATTGTTTTGGTATGTGGAACCCGCCTGTAAAGTTTGTAAAAGTATTTTTCATAGACCCTATATATATATATATATATATATATATGAATGAATAACTTCAAAGTCTTATCTCCCGACTCAGAGTTTCACGGGGATAAATTCGCACATCATTTATTAACAGATATTATCTCGATTTTAAACACATTACATAATAAAACAAATAATCTTTGAAGTCAACTAAATTTTTAATTTGTTCTATCGTAAAAACGTTATTATGTGGAATACAATTAAATAGACTTCGTTTAGCAAAAACGAATGTGGATAACGTGATTCTTTTTCTTTTTTTTTTTTTTTTTTTTTTTTTTTTTGTCTTCCCTGTATGCATTTACACTATTTACATTGTTTGGGCTGTTGTCCGCATCTTTATTGTCATATTCACGACGTTTCAGCCGTTGTAAGCTCCGGCCTTCTTCAGGTGATATACTTTGAAATTTCGAACCGGACCATTTATTTCGTCCAGTTAAAAGCAGCCGACATGCATATTTCGATACTCTGTCTTCTAAAATGTCACCTTACATAATCGCTGTGCCAAATCAGTTTTCATTTAAAGGGATTTACGAAGAGTCTGCTAGAGGTTTTGTTTGAGACAATAAAAGAAATGTTATCTTTATGGTGAGAATGCTACCAGAGCAAACAACAAAGATACAGAAAGACTTACAACTGTGTTTTATAAATTACACTAATGAGCTAATTCGTTTCCAGGATCGAGTTTACTTTCATTAAACCGTTTGACATTAACTTAGAATGTTATAATAGACCGTAATAAAATTTTGTAAGAAAATGATTTCATAGCGCATATTATAATAATTTGGCAGCACACCAATATAATAGAAACGCATCAACATCAGGTCATAAACCCCTTCTTTAAATACCAATGTAACTACTTAATCTTCAGGCAGAAATGTGACACTGTAATACGAAGGTATATTGGGATAGACAAGATGCTTTCCAAAAGCTAAGCAGAGTAATAAGAAACAACAAAAAATTTCTTACGCTGTTTACATTGTTTGAACTGTTGTCCTCATCTTTACTATCATATTCACAACATTTCAGCCGTTGTACACTCCGGCCTTCTTCGGGAGATATACGTATGCATGGACATGAAATTGCGGGAACCACAGTCGCCTACGTCCTGAGGGGACACGGTGTATAAAGGAGAAGAATCTTCAGCTTTTTTCGTGGGTGGCTGTTTTGGGTGTATGACGCTTTCTTTATTCTAAGAAAAGTAAAAAAAAAATGTTTTTTGAACGCATAAAAATTGGACAGAGTATTTGAAAGGTTCTCCGAATTGGTCGAACGTGTCAAAACGTTGACTGTAAAAGATGTCTAGAACAGTTCTTTTCTGAGAAAGATGAAATTAAAAAGTTCTAGAAGGATGCCTAAAATCTGGCAAAAGATAATTGTGCATTCCGTTTAACAATGGTACGATATTCATATCGTAGCAGGCAGGTATGATTTTTACATACAGTCGCGCAAATGGTAATGAACACGAGGCTGCACGGATGTATCAGATTGCGTTTCCAGGCCGAAGGCAGTCGAGTCATCCAACCTTTGCTGCTGTTTATCGTCGCGTTGCTAAGACAGGGTCCATAGCACCACAAACTATGGTAATAAGTATTTTTTAAATTGTATCATGTATTGTATATTTAACAGCGTCTACCGTAGGCTTTAGATTTAATAACTCTGAAAAAGCAAGATTTGCGGATATATAAGAACTAAGAAAAAAATTATATAGTAATTTATTAAGCGTGGCTTAGTTGTGGCACAAGGCTGAAAGTATGGAGCACTCAGTGAGTATAGAACTCTCTACTCAGTTGTTATTGATCTAGCGAGATAACCTTGCTAATCATTACATTTTAGAATTACAAATTACAAATTAAAATTACAATTTAAAAACTATAATTAAAATTACAATTTAAAATTTAAAAAATAAACTTCAATTTATGATGGAAATTAATTGACTCTAACGAAATTCTATAGGATGAATAAAAATTTTCTTCACCATACGGACGAAAATAGACAACAAAAAGAAAAATTTAACTCTGTAAACAAGAGATATAACAAGGTTTAACTCACGATATTTCTTCTTAAGACAGAGTCAATAGCTCGTGAGATGTGGTACACCAACGACCACCTGAGAATATCAGTATAATCATGTTAGGAATATGTTTCCATTTAGTTGTGTATTTAATCAATGTTTTAGTAAAACACAAAAAGCATCGTAGAAAATGCTAAGATAGTAAAGAAAGTTGATGTTTTTGCTTGTTTTTGTTTTTGCTAATAATAAAAGGTATTCAAATAGAATTACCTGCACTGAATGCAGATAGATAATAGAACTTTTAAAAGGTTTTTTTTCCGTTTTTTATGGCTCGTTTGAATTGTTTTTTGTTAAAAGTGAGTGAAAGTTACAGCATAAGAAAATGAAGAAGATAGAAAAGACTGAAAAATATGAACCAAAGGAAGAGACGGAAAGAGAGCAGTAGAATGGAGAGAGGAGGAATGGTGGAAGAAAAAGAAAGAAGGAACCGAGGAAGAAATGAAAGAGGAAAAGAAAGAAAGAAAGAAAGAAAGAAAGAAAGAAAAAAAGAAAGAAAGAAAGAAAGAAAGAATTGAACAAAGTGAAGGAAGAAAGTAGAGTAAAAGAAATAAAGAAAAAAATGATAATAAAAAAGGTAAAAGGTGAAAGATAAAAAAAAATCAAAGGACGAGAAGAAAAAAAAATGAAGTGACCGAAGAAATCAAAGAAGCAGGCGAGGACGAGAAGAAAAAAGTAGACGAATGTGGAAGATGGGAGAAAGGAAGACCAAGAAGAATGATGATAAAAGAAAAGAAACGAAAGAAGCAAGGAAAAGGAAGGAAGGGAGATAATAAAAAACGAAGAAAATGAGAGTGGAAGAAAGATAAAAGGAAGGAAGTAGTAAAATAAAGAAAGGAATAGAGAAACGAAATGAAAGAAACAGAAATGTAAGATGGCAGAGAAGAAGAAACGAAAATAAAGTAGTAATTTAGGAGGAAATGGGGAAGAAAAGAATAAATGATAGAAGGAACCATGCAGAAAAATGGTAGAAGAATTAAAGAATAAATGAAAAAAGAGAAATAAAATAAAGAAAAGCAGGAAGGAGTGAAAAGGAAGAAATGAAAAAAGAAGGAAAGAGCAAAAGTTGCATAAGAAAAAAAATTATGTAGAACGAAAATGATAACAGTGTAGAAGTGAAAGAAAGAAAGAAAGAAAGAAAGAAAGAAAGAAAGAAAGAAAGAAAGAAAGAAAGAAAGAAAGAAAACGAAAAAGGAAAAGGAAGGAAGGAAGGAAGGAAGGAAGGAAGGAAGGAAGGAAGGAAGGAAGGAAGGAAAAGAAAAGTGAGAGACGAAAGGAACTAAAGAGGCAGAAAGAGAAAGAATGACGTGAACGAATAAATAAATTAAAAAAAAGGAGAAGAAAAGATGAACGAATCTGGCAAAAGGAAAAAATGAATGAAAGAAGAAGCAAAGATAATTGTGGGAAACTAAAAAAAAAAACGAAAGAAGAAAGAAAATTGAACATGTAAGGGTTAAAAAGAAGTGGAAAAAGAAAAAGAAGGAAGAGAAGAAAGAAGAGAAAAAGTTTGCATAAAAAGTTAAGAAGAAAGAAAATGTAAAAGAAGCAAGGATTAAAAGAAAAAAAGGAAGAAAACAAATACCAGGGAACAAACAAAAATGAATTGAATGAAAGAAATAGAAGAATGAGACGTAGAATGAAAGAAAATGAAGGATAGACGACGATGAACGAAAGGTGAAAGAGTGCAGGTCAAATAAAAGTAAGAAACGAAGAAGAAATGGAAGAATTAAAGGCGGGGTAGTAAGCCAAGGTGAAAGAAATAGAAAAAGGAGTGATAAAAAAATGAAAGAAAGATGAAAGAAAAACAAAGGTGAAAGAAAAGGAAGAAAACGACAAAATGAAAGCTGAAGGGTAAGGTGAAAGAAAAGTAAAAATTAAATGAAGAAAGGAAAGAAATAAATAAATAAATTTGAAAATCGAGAGGAATCTTGCAAAAAACATCGAAAAACAAAATGTTTGAAAGAATGAAAAGAGAACATTTAATAAATCTGCAATTCCAAAACAAAAGGACTAGAATATGCAAGAAAAAAAATTAAACGAATGAAGGAAAAAAGAAAAACAAAAAATAAGCGCCAAAACAGAATATAGCTATAAATAATAAACATTCTTTCTTTTTCTTTTAGCTTTGGGCTACGTATAGGTAAAAAAATCTCAAATACTAATAAGGAAGCAAATGATGCAGGGAGACATTTTAAATGACTACGAGAAACATGCAATTTAAAAGTGAAAAATACCACTTTCCAACCCAAGTATGTATTGTCTTTTATTTAACATGCGATATCACAGATATGATTTATTATTTAAAATACATGAAACTTTCACTCACTCAAACGATGAACCCAGTATAGGATTTTTTCTTATCACTGCCTACTAATTTTCCATAGATATCATAGGTTCCACAATTCCACTGTTCAATTAATTGTGAACACGATAATATTTTCAATGGCTGTATACTATGTTCCTCTGTAAATACAGGGTGACCCAAAAAAATGGGAATTTTTGAAGTGCGTATTGCCAGACTTGAGCAAGTGGCAACACTGCGAAACAGTGACCTTGAGCAAGTAAACATTTCGCCATTTAGAATTCAAGGTGAAATTCACAGTATCCCAGCTGAGATATTGCAGCAGTCAATGAGGAATCTCAACAGCAGATTTCAAGAATGCAGGAGAACGCCATCTACAGGACGTAATTTTTAAAAAATGAAAATTCCATCATTGTTTCTTAAATGGAATGTTTTAAGGTTTCAATTACTATGAATAAAATATTTTTCTTCCATCACTCTTGGTTTTATTGGATTGTTAAAGTTCACGTTTTTTGGGTCACCCTATATACAATGCCGCGATCCTCAGCCGCGTTTTCCACCGGCCGGACAATGATAACCGCACGTTGCAGTTCATTCTTCGATCTCGTCTATATTCGTCGAAAGCTCGGGAAGAGGGCGCAGCGTGCTTACAAGGTAATGTCATCAGTTCCCAACTAGGTATCTACTCCTATCTTAGTAGCAAGTCCGATAGACCCAACAAACTAAACCTGGCAACTGCTCTTGAAGAGGACTTCCAATCACTGGCTAACTGGGAAAAGAAATGGCTTATAAATTTTAATGCCTCCAGACCAAACGGCTTTCATTTAACCACCACAGAGAACCTTTGCTGTCTACCATCAGTATGGCTGACGCTAGACTCCTGGAGAGCAACACAGGTGACTATATTTGAGGGACAACCCAGGTGACTATATTCTACATTTTAATCAATTGGAGGGAAAGTCATGGGGTTTTCATATTTTTCCTCTTTATAGTCTTTTCCTGTCGGCTCAGCCATGTCTACGATCTCTTTTTCACGTTTTCCTACGATCTGGTCAGATCTCTTGGATGGGGTAGCCGATCTGCAGGCCAAAGTTCCAGAGTATTTTATTCTTTATTTTCTAGGACAGCATGTGGTCTGTGTTCATGCCTTTTTGTTTACATAATCGAAGAAAAAAAAAGCGCTTACACAATAACCAACGTATCGCTTCCCGTATCTTGATGCACTTGTTTCTTTGGATTTTGTTTTGTTTTGCTTTGGGGGGGGGAGTTCTTAAGTTAGCTTTGCGACATTTACATCCCTGGTGGGATTAAGTGTCTCATCACTTCCTGCATTTGAGTTTCGTCAACTTTCGCTTTGATATAAATGTTCTACTGAATGCAGCCATAATAGATCCTGTTTCTTTGGTGGGGGATAGGGCATCCTCCGTATTACCCTATTCGTGATTTCGCCTGCAAGAGTGTCTACCTCTTTTAAGTTCTAAGCGGAGAACAGTGGTGGTCTGGGTCTAAAAATATTAGTTGCCAGGAGACAAAAGACGTACCCATAGCAAGGCTATCATTTAATTTTCAAAATGAATAAATTTTTAAAATATACATATGGAAAAAAGGGTGCAATTAAAATTTTTATGGAAAAATATGTATTTCTTAGTAATTACAATGTACATGTACTGCACATGTTACTGGTAGTAGATACCAAATGTAAGTACACAATGTTATAACTGAATTTTTTATTTATTTATTCATTTTTTTTTTTTTTAATTTTAAGTGGTTGATATTTTCCAATAGTTTGTTGCACAATTTACACATTAACAGAGAGTTCGAAAGCACAATAGTGCATTGCATGCAGTCCTCTATAATAAAATCAATCGTTTGCGTTCAGGAGACCATTGTTTGAATCTGCCAATAACTGCTTTTGAATCTAAATTCATCTAATGATTCCTTTTTAATGGATAGCAATATGTATGATTCCAAATTCTCCTCTCAGACAGCGAATTTCTTAACTTTGTCTTTATGATTTTTAGCTTTGAAAATGTCCTCTCACATTCGACGTTCTGGTAGTATACAGATGACTTTATAAAGTTCTTGTTCCTTTTTATTACTAAAGCAGTAGCCTGTGTGTGTTTCTTTATTTTTGATATAGGCGGCCCGCTTCATCAGGATCCCACTTGCCATCGAGTAATCTCACAGCCGGGCCTCTTCACCACTGACGGATAGTTTAATTTTTCTTCGCTGTTTCTGTGTCTATTGTTTCTTTTTATCTCTTCTGTTCTTTACTTTTACAATAGCTTATATAAAAGTATTTCCTAAGCGTATTAGTCTCAATTCCAAAAGATATCTAACTGTAGAGTTAACTTCTCTTTTCCTACCCATAATCCTCTTTTAAAATGGCTAACCCTCTGGACACACGTAGAAAGCAAACAGCTGGAACAGAATTTCAGTTTAATGAATGCTTGTGAAAAGGCTGTACTTTATACAATAAGAAGTGATATCAGTAGAAAAGCAATCCCAGAGAGAGAAAAAGGAAGTGATCTTAATGATAGGTTATCTGGTGGCAGGTCTACTGCTGTGAATACGGATAAGGATAAACAGGTTGCTGTTCTCATTACAACTGACAGAAATATCACTATTGCAAAACTCTGTGAAATCCTTCAAATGAGCCATGATAATTTAGTGCAATCGCTTGGCTACTCAATGCTTTATGTAAAGTGGGTTCCCAGAATGCTGATGACTGTATGAAAAAGCAAAAGATGATTACTGTTCAAGAGCTTATGGGATCCTGGTTTGACGCCCTCGTATTTCATGTTGGCATTCAGAAGACAGTGGTTCTCCAGTGATGACGAGGTGAAAGAGACAACTTGTACATCGCTAGATACTTATGAAATGAGTACGTATGCCCTCATGCAAAGGTAGAATGCCACAATTTAGAAGGAAGGAGACTCTGCTGAATACTAGATTTGGATCTCTGAGACTTCTGTGTTTATTTTGGTATGCTTTGTAGGTTTCTACTGTTACAGCTGTTGTAAGTAATGAACAAGCAATAATTTTTGACAGACTACGATTGAGACGGAAGGATACTTACTGCGCTGTGGAGATCGAATTTCGTATCCTGAGACGTTTGCGTTCATTATGGTGTGCGCTTTGGCAATCAAACCTCTTGTAATTTAAGAAGAAAAGGCATTACTTCTTGACTAACTTTGATTGAGAAAGAAGGGGATTATTTTGCGGGTTGGGTTTCAAATCCTGGGACTTTTGCTTTCATTTTACTATACTTTGTCGGCTTTTATAATTTACTCTGTTGTAACGAAAGAAAAGCTGACATCAATATTTTAGCTACCTGAATATTACTGATAATATCTTTCTTTCATTTCTTTTATTATTATTATTATTATTATTATTATTATTATTATTATTATTATTATTATTATTTAGGTAAGTGTATAGCTGAGTAAAATTATTAAATAAAACAAATCTAAAAGTTCCCAAAACCCATTAGTTGAAAAGCAAATATGATGAAATAATCAAAATTCGAAAAGTAGAAATGGAGGTGGGTGACTCTTTTTAGCAACAATATCTGAAGTTGGATTTCTACTGAATTTTCTTTGATAAGAACATGAAAATAGTTTATATGACTTGAGAGAGAAATAACCTTTATGGATTGGCATAGTGGTAAAGCAGTAAGCAAACTTTAAGCACAATCACTGTATCAGGATTCTTATTAGAAAAAAATGCATTAAACACGGTTTGGTCTGATTTGTTTGTTTAATAGCATATCAACTTCTCATGGGTCATTTAATGCCAAAATATAATTTCCTTTGAAGCTTTGATTAATTTTTAAAGTTTATTGCTGGTAATTTTTTTACTATGAAAATGCATTGCTGTTAAGTTTTATTCTATGAAAATGTATTGCTGTAATTTTTACTATAAATATATATATTTATATTTTGGTAATATTATGATCCGACTTTGTGGATTTACTATTTGCCCATATCTGGGACCCTAACAGGTGCTACCATCCCGGATCAGAGTGAACCTTGGAACAACAGCAATTAAAATGTGGGTCCACGCTCCTTAAACCTCCCACCTTGCTACTGGATGTAATACCCAGAATGGGAACACAATGATTTTAATTACATTCTTCTCCTCAGAACTTAGGAAAAATAGTCGTAGAACCTACAATATCTGTAAGGTTAATTTGAGCAACAGGGGCAGATTAAACTACTTAAGACCAGTTTTACACGTTAGCCGAAAGATTACAATTTTAAGTGTAAAATTCAAATAACGTTGATTTGGATAAATCTATTTGTTTAATTTTAAAATTAAATTCTTGAATGATAATGACTCGTTTCAAAATCATAGAAGGTTAGATTTCATAGACCTATACATGCTGTCATATATGAGAAAAATAATGATGCTTTGCAAATAAAATTTGCTGGTCTTGACTGAAAAACTATACAAGACAAAATGCGAACCTTGTAGCAAAAGGATCAAAAGGAGAAAAACTCGTCTCTAGAAAATGTAATGAGACTCTCTACAGAAACGCCA